ACAAGTGGGACAGTCAATATAGATATAATCAATCCGGTAAACCATCACACGGATGGGGCCTTACCACATAGATTTTATCATCTACTCCTCTTCTCAGGCGAACTCTTGCCTCTCAAGATTATGTAATGCATATTTATGCAATAATTCACACTTTATACAATTCATAGAACTTCAAATAATCAATTTCATTAAACTTTATTATTTCACAAATCATTGAACTTCTTAAACACATTTTTATGGAATTCCAAACCAAATAAGTCATTAAACTCTAATTTCACAATCATTATACCTCACACTTTCAAAATCATTGAACTCCACTATTTTAAATATCATTGAACTCCTCATAAATCAAGATTCATGTTACTTCTCAATGACAAAGTCATTGAACTCCCATTTCATAATACAAGAATCCACCCATATTGTTTTCAAAGAATTTCACATCACAAGGCATAAAACTCACAAAATCAATCTAGTGGATTTTCTAACAAATCAAGCCACACTTGCATTTTTCATTTTAATTTACACATTTCCATGATCAATTATAAATTCATAAACTAATAATCACATAAAAGCATAAGATAGAGTTCTCTCGATTACCTCAAACTTTTGAGAGATCAAAGGTTTCACCCCTTAATTTCTCACTCCCAAAGCTTCCAAGAAGCTTAAGTAATGTCAAAGGTAGTTACTCTACAAGAATTTACCATTCAAAACATCAATATCTGTATTTGAGCTATTTTCACTAACACTTCAACATTTCTTAACAAAAAGTATCTATAAGGCCTCTTAGCTTCCTTTAACCCTCATTAGTAACATTGAGCTCTTAAATGATCATTAATAGAACCATGTTGTTTCCAACCACTATATTTATGAGAATTTTGGACATTTAATGACTTCCAACTATCAATCATCATATAACCATAAATACAGAGTTTACTTAGCTCAATTTACTCCTATTAACTCTATTTAAGTCAATGGGTTTAGACCCATAGCCTTTATGGATTGAAAATTATCATTATCAATCAAACTTTAACTTCTACCATCAAGAAAATAGAAGAAGAGAGAAAGATTTAAGTAAGGAAGCTTACCTTTGGTATTTATGAGCTCCAAATTACTCGTATAAGTCAATTTCTTTAAGCCGTAGCTTAGCTCTTTCATCTCTCTCTCGGTTCCCTTTGTTTTGTCTTCTCTTTTGCTTTAGTTTTGTAACTTAATACAGCAGAAATTTGACCATATGTCGTGGCGGATGCACAATGTGCTGTGGTGCATGGCACAGAGGGTTTTGCCCAAGTAGAGTCGGGAATAAAGGCTGGGCTTGGAGGGCTGAGCTTGGAAGCTTTGTTTAAATAAGGGTTCGAGCTTTAAAAATAATTTTTTTAAAGTAATCGGGCTTAAGAGCTTGGCCTTGAGAAGCCTTGTAAAAAAGGGCCCGCGATCCTTCAAGCCCTGTTATATTATTATTATTATTATTTTGTTTGATAAAACACGCGTTTGAAGCCAATGATCTACTCACCTGATCCTACATGCATTATATTATTATTAATTTTAATTTATTCTAAAATTAATTTAATATAATTTAATAAATATCAGTGTATAATAACAAATTTATGATATTTTTTATTTTTCTATAATTATTATGTTTGTGTATTTATAAAAAATGAACTATTTTTTAACCAAGATTTACATTTTATTACTAGACTTCTAAATGTGTGTTGTTTAATTTCTAAAAAATTGTGAGGATTTTAATTTTTTTAATTTCAAAATATTTTAATTAATTTATAATTTATAATTTTATTTTATTTTTTATTTTTTGAAAAAGGGCTTTGCGGGCCCGGCCTTGAGCCCTTCATATAAGGGTCAAGCTTGAGAAATGAGACTCAAAATGGGGGACTAATCTTTAGGGCTCAGGCCCTTTAAGGCCGGGCCTGCTCATATTCCCAACTCTACCCAGGTGTGTTGTTATACATGTGTTGCGATAGCTCATCCACAAGCCGCAGTGTGTGGTACAAAATCACTTTCATTAGAAATTCTTCCTCTTTCATTCTCGGGTGACTCGATTCTCCTTCAAACCCGCGTTTATAATTGAAATTGAGACCAAACACGCTCGTTTAGCCTCTCTGGCCACACACTTCACTAATACACTTAATTAGTCTATTTAAGCTTAATTAATCTAATTTAAAATTGAGGATGTTATAGTCAATTTGATGTTGGGCAATTCTCTGACCTCATTAGTTGGGGAGTACCATCTGTATTTCTTCTCTTTGCCTTTTGATGATAGTGGAGAATTCCATTTAGGAATAACTTTAGATGAAGGATTCATCTGGCTTGCTAGCCCATACCATCTGCTCCATGTTGGCCTAAACCTAACACTTACTGTCACGTTATCATAACTTAAAAAAAAAGGGTGATTGACATAGAATACATGCATAACCATTCATCCTTTAAGCTTGAAATCTAAAAATTTAATTTTAAGACCATGTACATAGTTTATTGAAGATTAGACCATTTCCTATACAATTAATTCAAACAAAAAATTTCATAATTTTACAAAAATTTTGCCAGCATCTCCCTTATAAATAACACCTTCCAAAAACTCTACAATAAAATTTTAGACAAAAACCATAACACAATAACTTGAAGCTCTACTCCTTCTAGCCAATAGACAAATTGTACAACAATAATAGAATCTTAATTATAGTCTATATGAAGCACTTAACCATATTTTCAAAATAAAATACATAACTTTTATAATTACATCAAAACGAAATAATTTCAATCAAATCTTCACTTGACTTAGCTATAAGACCTTCAGAAGTTAGCAAGAGGTTCAATGAATCTGAGATCAAAAGTAACTTTTTAATAAATAACATCCTAATTTAGATTTATAGAAAATAAAGAGAGATAGTATTTATAAAATAATTATGAATTTCACAATAATAATCATTTGTTATGGTAAAAATAAAACACGTTGTATAGTGCAAATAATCTTATAAAAATATGTAAACCAAATAGATAAAGGTTAATTAAGGACAGAGACATCAAGTTCACTCCACTCATTTTAGCATACAAATAGACGATGCGAGAAGTGGGTTCTTACTTTATTTTTTTTTAAAGCACATCCAACACCAAAAGACTCACCCACATATTACTAATGCAACATAAATAAGGGAAGCAAAAGATTTCTAGCAACATGAACGAAGCAAGGAAAGAAGAATCAAATGACAAGTATCGAGTTGAAAGAAGATTTGGCGTACTGAATGGAGACCTGTAGTGATGACGAATAGCACTCCTCCACACGCACACGTTGGCGACAAAAAGGATGAGGGAAGATGATTCTCAAATCTCAAACCCTCTCCCTTTCTTACAGTCGCATAAACAAAAAATAGGATGAAGGGGAAAATATATTATGTTTTTATTTATGTATTTATTATTTTTTAATAAGACAATTTGGTAGTTTCATAAAGTTAGGGCAAAATAAAATATCTCCCTTGACACTAGAAGGATTCGAGCTCAAGATCTAAAGGTATCTATGCTAAGAGTAATTTTCATTAAGGCACAAACCCATCTTGCCATACCTACTCTAAAAGTATAAAATATAATCCATAATATATTATTATGAATGTTAATACAATTATTATATGTGTGTGTGTGTATTTCCCTAAAACTAAAAGTATTCACATTTTAATTTTATTTAAAATTCTTAGGTTATTACACTTACAATTGACGATCATGGAAACATCAAAGTTTTATACAATAAAGATGCTAGTTCTATAACTATATACACTTTTGAAGCAGAGCACCAAGCCAAAATCAATGCCAGTCCCATTCTGACTTGTATGGGTACTTTGGAGCTTTACGAAATGAATGATAGTGACACTATAAATGGTTGATATGGAGCAGGTTATAGATCACCCCTATAAATTTCTTTGGCTAAGGATGAGACTAGGATTTAACAAAGTAAGAAGGCAAGCATGGAACCTAAAATCATGGGCAGGATTAAGAAACCTTTCTTTTAATTACTTTACCCTTGGTATCAATGGTAACTCCAATAATGAAACCCAACTAGTTTTATGTTGGGGAATGAGTGTCTATTGGACTAATTGGCCATTGGCAAAAGTTGGAAGAACATTTATGGATGGATGCATGTACTCGTTTAGAAATTTTAGCTCAATCAAGTTTTCTTATGAGTCAAATGAAAATGAAACTTATGTCAAATTTTTGGGTCCCTACAACTTTGCAGAGGTCACACTATCATGCAGTAAAGGTCCCCACTAGGCTATTAATAGTGGCTGTATGCTTTTGAAACCTTCAAACTACAGAAACCTAGATACTTTTGTGTCTGAGCTTGACTATCAATATGGTTATATTTCCCATGAAGGGTACAAGATTGAAGACAATGAGAATCTCCCTCTCTATGATTGTGGCATTAGGTATTTGATGAATTGTTCATGTGGCTATTGTTCTCCCACACATAATGACACTTGTTGTCAGATATGGGACACTGCTTCTAAATTTATGGCGTCTCTTAATGGGCGATAAGTTTACTTCATTCGATATAATCCCATCAGGAAATCCAAGGGTAAGTACACACAGCATTAATGTGCTAACAAGACTAGATTATCTTCTCAAATTGGTGGTTAAATTGAATGTCTGACATTTAGATTGTATGTGATTAAACCATATCATTTTCATTATTAAAGAAAATTAAGGGCTTCATGATGATTGAGAATCTAGATTTTATTAAAACTTGCCTTATTAGCAAAAAGCCATAGCCATAAGGGAATAAAAATTTCGAGCCTATTTAAAGTAACACTAAGGATTCTCACAACTAAAATTGATGAGATGCTACGAGTGTGACAAGCTACAATTTCAGCACATGATCACATAGCTATAGTTTCATTCATAGATCTCTAAAAGTAGAATTAGACAACTTATCAAAAGTACATATCTCTCAAGAAAACGAAAATACACCTAGTTATCTTACTGTGTACATAATGGACTAGCTATCTGCCATCTATATTAGACATTGTTACGCAGTTTATGGAATAAAGTTCTTGATTGCTGTTGGATAACACGAACTGTTCCTCAACCACACTACTAAAAAATGCTGGTTTCTTTGGTTGGCCAAGTTGAATTGTATCATTTGATAAAAAAGAAATTACATCAACCATGAAAGGTCTGTCCACTGCTTGATCTTGGACGCATAAGAGACCAATATGAATACCTCTTAGCACTTTCTTTTGGTCATTTGGTTCACTTAATTCTGAGTCCATTAACTCTAAAGGTCTATCTTCATTCCAAAGGCGCCATGCCTAAAACAATTACATCATCCACCAAAAGTTAAATTGATCAGTTGTTAGAATATTATAACAATGAGTTATTTAATGTGTCAAATAGATATTTGATAAACTTACATATCCTATGAGATTGAGACAACCATCTAAATCATTACGGCTATTGTTCTTCTTGCCACTAAGAATCTCAAGTAGCAGAACACCAAAACTAAATACATCTATTTTGATCGAAACAACACCGTTCATTGCATATTCTGGAGCCATGTAACCACTTAAATAATGACAACCAAGAAAATTAATGTTAGAATCTTAATTAACTCAATCAATACTCAATGATAAAGTCAAGGAAAAATGACTGAAAATGAATTATATATTATACTTACTATGTGCCAACTACTCTGTTTGTGCTTTCTTCATATCCTTTTGGCCCAAATATTCGAGCCATACCAAAATCAGATATTTTAGGATTCATTTCTTCATCAAGTAAAATATTTCCTGCCTTTAAGTCACGGTGCACAACTTTTAGTCTTGAATACTTGTGCAAATAAAGAAGCCCCTGGGCAATTCCTTCTATAATGTTAAATCGTTTTCCCCAACCTAGTACATGCCGTTTGATTTCATCTGTTTCAGGATAAATATACTTATTATAAAACTTAACACTAACAAGTTCATTGTTTATTGAAAAGACAGGATATGACTTACCAAATAGGTAGTAGTCTAAGCTCTTGTTGGACATGTATTCATAGACCAATATTCTTTCATCTCTTTGGATGCAGAACCCTATAAGCCTCACAAGGTTCGTATGCTGCAGTTGGGCCATGAGTTTAGCTTCATTTTTAAATTCAGTGAGTCCTTGTCCAGAACTCTTAGCAAGTCTCTTTATTGCTACTTCTTGCCCATCAGTTAGTGTTCCCTGAAAGCATGTAATGAAATGTTGTTATACATGTATATATCCAGATAGTTTACCAAGTTTCAATTTACATATATGAATATATGTGAATATAGATGTAAATAATTGGATTACCTTATAAACGGGACCAAAACCACCCTCTCCTAGCTTGTTTGAAAATGAGAAGTTGTTTGTGGCAACCGCAATGCTCTCAAAACTGAATATTTCGACCTCATTATTATTGCTTGCTATTTGATGTTTCTGATTCCTTTTGGCTTTTCCTTGCGCCATGTAAATCATTGCACTGCCTCCAATGTCATGTAATATCTTCCTTTGCTTTGTAGTTCCGACCACTAGTGATGTGACATGAAGGTATCATAAGTGGTATAGGGGAAGTAATTATAAACTCAATAGAATATTTGGATATATATTATTATATTATAAAGGAATATGTTACCTTCTGCTTTGTGTTTTCTCCGTAAGGATAAGTAACAAATCAGAAATAATGCTATGCTTGATCCCACCCCGGTGATTAGCCATATCCACCACCTATTTCCTACAGTTCACAAGAATATTCACGAATATTCTGCCAGCATGAGTTTGTTGTCTTGCGCTCATGAAGATCCTGTTTTCCTAGTTCTATTTAATATTCTACTTCGAATCTACATGATATATTCTACCGATCGGGACCTTCATTGAATTCAAAACGTTAAGTTATAAAAAGCAGAAAAATAAATAATGCAGGGATAAAAGAAAAAGAAAAAGGATCATATCCATGTATGTAGGATGTAGCTAGGGAGCGAGTCACCATCAATAGATAACATTATCTTGTACCAACAAAAAAAAAAAAAACCTGATAGCATTATGTATATATTACTATATTAAGGTAGTGCAAGTTAGAAAATTGGACCAACCTTTGTGTCTAACAGCTAAAACATAAATTGACTGGCCTTTCGCTCCAGCCGTGAATGTGGCTCCTTGAAGCCATATCTGGCATCCACGACCGGAATTCACTGGTGCATAAGCGACGCAGGAACAATTGTTCTTGCATATGGTCTGACAACACGGTAGACTTTCATAAATCTTTGAACTACCAGCGGACATGTTGCCGACCTGTTCTTCAAAGATGTTGTCGTGGTTCCCGCATGCGGAAGCGTTTTTGAGTTCTGTGCACAGAGAACTGAGTTTAATGTCGTCACTGTAATTATTCTGTGCATCATAGTCCCTCATCCACAACATCACACCACCATAGTTAGGTGACTTCCTTACAAAAGGAAGTACATCACTGATCAACTCATCACTAGGAATAAAGCCACTGTCCGTAGCATTTTCAGATGCTGGCAAGTACAGCAACACTTTAGAGCCACCATCTGATAATGATTTCGTCCATTGGTTCCATGTATTTAATAATGAGTCGCTACCGTGTGATACTGAATATTTGCAGGCAGGGTCGCCCTGGAATTGTATGTAAACATAGTCAAAAAGGCGATGTTCTTCAAGGGCAGTGCCACGAAAATTATCAGGAAACCGGCATTGAGGTGATGCAGATAAGAGGACTCTTCGTGTTGCAGAGCTGTGTGACTTCAAGTAAAGAGCAAGGTCCTTCCAGTATGGTGTAGAATAGCGGATATCAAAATTGACGCCGTCTAATATGGCATCTCCAAATGGGCGAGAAGATGAATTTCCTCCCAAGAAAGTGTTCCACAAGTAATCAGAAACACTTCGAGCCTTGTCAGCAGAAGATAGAGTGACATTCCAACCTTCTCCGGCAACATAGAGCATCACCTTGATCCCTTGTTGTTGGCAGTATTTGATACTTGTGCCAATGGTGGGGCATGATAAAGGAGGGCCACTGCAGATACCTGCTGGGGTGTCCAGGAGTTGAGGGCTAAATTCACCCGGAGAGGTCATCAAGAGATAGAATATGACCACGTAAGTGTATTTTCCAGTGGCGCATGCTTCTGTAAGATTACTGTTATCACTCGTCAGACGCCAGTAAACGCCGATTATATCATCGCCAGCTTCAGACGAGCCAGTAATTTGAACGAGGACTAGGAAAGCAAGGAGTATAAAAAGAGGAGATAGAAAAATTTTGGTGGCCATCATCATGCTCTGTGCTAATCTTATGTGTTCCAGTTTAAACTGATGGCCACTTTGTATTTATAGTTACATTAATTGATGCATACAAATCAACAACGCATTTAGACGCAGTCCATTTTTTTTTTTGGAATTAAAGTCAACCATCATACAAACTAGGAGTGCATTGCAAGTGCATTTACACGCAGTACGTCAATGACCGCGCAAACACGTTTTTCTTGGGAAAAGTCTTCGACTAACTTATTACTCACTAATTAAGTTACTTTTGTTTGTGTTAAATTTTATAAATTTAATAAATATGTGGGCTTTAGTACTATCAATTATTTAATTAAAATATCTAATGTTGTTTTAGGCAATTTGAATTATTTTAATATTAGGTTCAAAACAGATCGAGCGATATATTTAATTTTGGTGATCATCTTGCTGTATGTGCTAATCTGATATGTTGTTCCCTTTCCCTGTAAATCCATGGCCTCTTGGATTTACTACTATGTTAATAAGTCACATGTATATACAGACAACACACAACTGATCAAGAACACGAGCCTTTTCATATGTGATGAGCTGAGCTCATGAAATTAGTCACTTACTGAATTCCAGGGTATAGCTTGAACAACAATGAATTTACTAGGCTATAGCTTTTCCAAAATCACCATTTCTAATATTTTGTTTGGCTCCAAATCTCGGATAATCTCTTTTCTTTCTTTGAAAATTTTTCATACTATTTAAATGAAAGATTTCACACACACACACACACACACACACACACACACACAAATGAATTCTAAATATAAAATTTTAAATCTAAAATCCAAATCTATCAATTCAAACCTTCCTATAAATTAAAATCGTGAAACGTCTGTCTTCATCTTCTTCTCTATGTCTATATATGGAGGACTCAGCTGCTCTTGTAAGACAGAACTTGCTTAGGGAAATAAAAATCTTGTATATTTTTTAATCATGTCTCTTTAAGCCCTTTCTCTCTCCTAAAAGCTTGATTCTCCAATACCCTGTATCTGTCATAGTTAGATTCAAGTATGCTCTTCCACTTACCTTTGAGGAACCTATACATTAGAAAGAATCCGATCAACGTTCCATGTATATGAGCCTATGTCACCATGCTTAGATATCCATGGGTTGAAATGTCAAATGGTTGAGAATCCTAAAGCGGCTCGAGTTTGCCTAGAATAGGTGTTTGAGGGGCCTTACCTGGATTAATATAACCCTATAGCTAGTACATACACCCATGTTTCCTACAAGATTGATATATTTCTCTTTCTCATATGCCTTGTGGCCTAATTTTTAATATCTTAAGCTTAATTGCCATGTGAATTCTCATATTTGACGTATTCATTCTCTAATTTCAATGTCAAATTCTATTGTATGAAATGGAAGTAACTCAATTGTCTACTTTTCTCACTCTTTTCCTCAATTATTACTAATTGTCTTCCTGCCACCATTCTTGTTCTTCTACATTTAATCAAACATGTTTTTCATTTTTAGCATTCCTAACAAATTCATTGTTGTTCAAGCTATATCTTGGAATTTTCCCAAAAATCCTTCACTTTTGAATTTAGATCCATTAAGTGAGCTAAGTCCGCTCATTTAAGAAGCGTCTCAACTACCATCATTAGATTTTTTATTAATATTTGAAAACCATTAAAATATATTTTCCTTCAAAAATTCAAAACAAGCCTTACAATGAAAACATTCTTCACATATGTTGTCCCTTCTAAAAATTTAAGATTTCATATTTTTTGAGTATTATATGACAAAATGTCTTATATCACTACTGGATCCAAATCTTTCACTTCTTCATTTCTTACATGAATCTTGCATCTCAGCTTGTCACACAGCTCGAAGTGGATCCCAATACTGATGCATTTATCCTGTCGATAAGTGTAATTCTAATACAAAAGCCACGTCTCAAGCATAAACCAACATCACAATGATGAATAAACTACCTATTTTGACCAATCTTTTGTGGTATAACAAATCAAGGATTGAATTTCTGCTACAAAAGGTGTGCCACATTTAATATCCAATCATACATCAAAACTTCTCAAATAAATTCCTCCAGTGTCATAACAAAAACGTGGTATTGAAAACCATGGGGCATTATTAAGAGTGTATCTTGGCAATCAAATCTTCCTCATGGTTAACTTCTCTTGCAAGTAGTAATTTATATATTACTAACAATTTAATAAGTAATTTTTAGCTAGATATGAAGTTTATATGAAAAAATTGCATAACTTGCAAAGGTTTGGCAATTATCCATCTAGATTTAAATGTAGGAGTTAGTCAAAGGATTGTTTTTGGTCCTAATAGAGCATCAATCTACTTTGTTTCTTAAATTTATAATTTTTTTAAAATTATATTCCATCAATAGGGTAGTTCCAATATAAATGACTAAAAGGAATGTTTCAACGAAATTAATCTACATTTTTTTACATATAGCTACTCATATAATTTTCTTAAGATCTCTAAATTAGTTATATGACTTTTATAGTATTTAATTTCTACAATAAGATCGGATCAACTATTAAAGAAAAATATGACAAGGTGGGTCTCATGTATACTTAGACTTAGAGATCCTTGTGTCTATATATACTAGGGCATATTGATCCAGGTAAGGCCTCTTAACACTCTGCTAGCTAAACTTGTAACATTTCAAATTTTAATCCTTAAATTACTAAGGAATTAATCAAGTTTACTAATAGTAATTGAATGATTTGACATTGTATGTATCTAGAAAGGTCTAATAAGTGTTTTAGGTTATGATTTCAACATTAATTTTGTGTCCAAAGTGAAGTTGGGCTACTCGGACATTGAAAGAATGAGAAAACATGAATGAAGTGTCTTTTAGCCATATGTCATGGCATGCAACATATCTACTGCGATGCACATATGGCAAAGGGACATAGGAGACCTTTCTGTGCCATGTGCTGCGGCATGTATTGCATGCGCCATGGCGCATGGCCATATTTTCTGATAAAGAAACTCATGAACAAAAAGAAAATCAGAAGGAGAAATAGGAGAAAATGAAGAGCAAGTGATGAAGCTCTGCTAGAGTTTGTAACATTGGTAGTTTTGGAGCATTTTGGAGCTGGTAACCATTTGAAATAAGTCCCTCAAGCCATAATCTTCCTCTCTTCCATTTTCTTCAAGTTTTTGGTTAAGATTTGATAACATGAGATGATTTTCAATCTATATAGATTATGGATTCGAACCTATAGACTTAAATGGAGTTAATGAGAGTTGTTTGAGATATTTAAACCTAGGAGTAATGAGTTTACACATTTTAATAGTTATGGGGTCATTAATAGCAAAAAATGCCATTTATTATGGTAGATATAGTTGGTTAAAGAGCCATAAATGACAATCTGAGAGTTCAATAAAGCTATTGGGAGTTAAGGAGAGTTAATGAACCCACTAGGCAAGCCCAAAGGTGGGAAATAAGGATGGTGGGTATTTTTGAAGTGTAAATGTGAGAGTGGAATTGTGTTCTTGACAAAGTTAATGAGTTAGAATTTATTAATTATAGATTTAAGCATTCGAGCACCATATTTGGCTTGGGAATCAAGCTTAAAAGCTAATTATTGAGGGTAAATCTTTGACCTCTCAAAAGTTAAGGTAACCAGGGGAACCTTATCTTAGGTAGTTGTTTGTTAATTGAATATTTATTATGAAAATGTGCAAATTGACATGTATGATTTGATTAAGAATGTAAAGCATGTCATGAGCCTTAATGATTAGTTGACTTGTGAATATGCAATGTTTTATTTAAACTTAAAATGTGCAACTGATGTCAAAGTGATTTTCAAAACTATGAATGTGTTGGTTTTAGGATGAGAAAGGTGATGTTATATGATGTGATAATTATGTATTAATGGAGAAATTGATGATTTGATAAAGTGAAAAATATTTGTGAAAACAAGATAAATGCTCATTTGGGTAGCATACTATCATGAGCTTAATGTGCTAATAATGAATAAATGAAATTATGAAAATGAGTGAGTATCATACACAGCATGATCAATTGGCAGAAATTCACCTAGGGAGAGGAGTAGTTAAAATCCATATAGTATTTTTAGCTACCTTTTGGCTCATGAGGGTATAGCTTTATCCCATAGTTTATTGAGAGATTAGAACCCAGCTATCTCTACAATTTTACCGAGGAGGTTAGGTTAGGGTTTATAACACCCCAAGGATTAGAGAGTGGGGAAAACCATGGTTCGAGAGTGAGTTCTGTGATTTTTGGCCAAGTCACATTTTATAATTGGTGAGTTTGGGTAATCCAGTCACACAAATGAAACTTTGTTTGATATTATAGCCCACGATTTCAGTAGGAAAATACAAGAAGGCTATAAGGTGATTTAATCATGCTTATGTAATCATTTAATGTGTCACATAGTTGTTTAAGTTTGTAACAAGTCGTGAAAGTAATTTTAGGTCATTGTCACATGTTTGTGTGTCTTGTGGCAATATGCTCTACAATCTAAGTTGATATGTATGAAATTGAAATTGATTATAAAATTATAACTTGCATCTCATGTATTCATATGAATTTAAGTATTCGACTCATTTAAGTGTTTAAATCAATTGATATACAATTGTATAGGAAAGGTAGACCTTAGTTATTAAGACTCATCCCTCTCTTTTAATATTTTATAGGCTTTAGGTTTGGTGCAGAAAGGGAAAAGGCTCTAGAGGCTTAAGAATCTAAGTATTCCTATTATAATGCCTCTTTAATTCATTTATTTTGTGTAATAGTTTAAATATTGCCAATTAGGATGCATTTTATTTACACTTGCATTATATAGTTATTTGTGATATCTAGAATGTATTTTAAGTCCTGAGATATTGTTTATGATAAAATTATAGATGTTGATAGAGTCAAAATACTAGTGCAAGTGTAGTAAGGTTGTTTTAAACATGCTATGAATGATTTGTGATGAAATACAATGCTAAAACCTCCCATGTTTGTTTTTGGTATTAAAAGGGTT